TGGTGTGCAAAAACAGAAATAGCTGATGAGTGCCAAAGTTTGTAGGGGATAAACTACCGATCCCAAATTACTCTCATTATTATTCATGTGGTCTATGAAACAGCTTACAGCCCAAGATGACATCTTCAACAGTCCAAAACCCAAAGATAAGAGAAAGGATACCTCACGTTTGAGCATTTGTAACCAGCAAATATTTGACATTTTTGGACAAAAATTATTAAAATTGATGCAGATTAATAATCTGCCAATAATAATTATTGGTTAGTAAATTATCATTCCAACTGTAAATCAGATATCAGTTTAAAAGAAGCCGATCTGTGCATCAGTATACAGCTCTATGACACATGACATGTATGGTGCATTTATCTCTTGTATGGAAACATACTTGTAGCAGCAAGTGGACTGATGAGCCACAGCGTGTGTATGTGCACGGATTACTGTGTGCGTGGTGCTGATGGTTCAGTGCGGCTACTGCATAACTCTGTTTTGCACGTGGACGGATGCCTCACCTCCACCTGTTGATCCCAACGTTGGACGATCCCGCGAACCAGGGGTCGAGGATGTAGATGCAGCGGACGGTGTCCGCTCCCAGCAGAGATTCCTTGAGCGACGGGTTGTCGTGGAGCCGCAAGCCCTTCCTGAACCAGTGGATCGTATTAATGACCATTACTCAACTGGACGAGTCCTTTTTCCTTTTTGAATGTTATCAAGAGTCTTTTTGTGTTCACTCCACTTTTATCCCGACTCACTGACAGTTATGCCAAAGGAAAAAAAAAAAAACGTGAAAACAAGGCCACTGGGAATCCAAATGTGTGAGGAAAAGTCCGTGTATGCTAAGTTAGCATACAACCCCTTTGTTTTCAGTAATGCGGTCCAACTTTATTTTAATTAGCCTTGTTCTAACAGAACCTTTTCCATAATGACAAAGTATTTATAAACCGATGGCTGCTGAATCATTTGGGCACAAGGCAGAGCGCGCTCTCAGGCAATGTGACAGCTCGGCCGGCGGGCTTTAGGACCCAGTTCGCTGAGGCACAGCAGTCTTGTTGTATAACTTGTTTTTCTGAATGATAAAAAAATGCATATATAAATACACGTACTAAAACGCTTTAGTGGGCTTTCTCTATAGCGACAATACCCGAGTATAACTGATAAACAGAGTAATTAACTGGCCTGTATTTTGAGGCAATTGGTGTCCACAAGACACCGTGGCAAGACCGGCTGCTCCCCGCCGCGAATACCGGGAAAGCTGGTTATGTAAATATAATTTCTGACTGCGATATTGTCGAATTCGTCGTCCAAATTCAAGCTGGAAAAATACTTAGCTGTTAAAATTCCCTCTAGGTTCCGTATGATCCGTCTCCCTCACTGCCGAGCGGATGTTTTGAGTGGGTATAACACAAAATTTTCCCCAACGTCCACGAATAGCTGCTCGTTCGCCTCGCCGCACCTACAGTCGTGACTCCGCCCACTGGAGACGCACACAGCTCTGCGGTCTGTGATTGGTCCAAATGCCTGCGTGTGTTTCCGCAGCGTGGTCACGTTTCTGCAGCGTGCTCTCGCTGACCTAAATGAGTAGACAGCTAACATGTACAGCAAAAGTAGACTATTTGTGGGTATACTGCTGAATTGTGACCTCTTATGGTCGACCCAACAGTCTCCACACATAATTTACGAAGCTTTATCAAAACATATCCAAGTAAATATAAGTTTAGACAGAAGCGATCTCTACTTTGGTACTTTTTTTTTTTTTTTTTTTTTAAATTTAAATTAATATAACAAATCATAGGTTATAAGTTGAAAAGGATGTTCACATATACTTTGATTTTGATTTTTGTTGTAAACCGTTAAACATATAAACAAAATGTGTGACTCAGCCTGTAGGGCGCTCAGGCTTGTTTACCGTGAAAGGACCCGGATAAGCACATGAAGTCCGGCATGAGAGCACGGTCTGCTTATGTGTGTGTAGTATTGTAGTACTACTGTAGTACCACAGTACCTCAAGTCCTCCTCCTTCATAGTCAAATTTGCCCTGCAGAGAGAAATCATGTGAACAGTTTGATAAAGACCTTGGTAAAAACAATTTTTCTTAGTTTAAACTGTATGTTCAGGGGGCTGGGCTGCGACTGAAGTAAGTTTTGTCACATCTCACTTTGATGCTTTAACGCGTTTACCTTGTTTTAAATCGAGACTTAAACGCTTGTATTTGTCACTGCCTTTTGGTGCATCGAAAGTTTTTGCCCAATCACAACTATATATTCATATTTGTCTTTTCATATCGCGTTGTATTTCTTCTGTATTTTCTCTTAATACCTTTCATGTGTATTATTATTATTATTATCATTATTATTATTATTATTATTATTATCATCATCATCATTATTATTATCATTAGTACTCGTAGTACTAGGCTGGTAGTAGTAGTGGTGGTGGTGGTGGTAGTAGCAGTAGTAGCAGTGGTATTTACCGTGCGTCACAATATTCTCTTACATAAAACTGACTTGTAATTATGCAAGACATGAACTGCCGCCTTTGGACAGTAGATGTAGTACCGCGCTTTGGCCACTGAGCGGCAGTATAACATCACACCACTAGCGCCCTCCTTCTGTGTCTGATGATAACTTAATATAATGCACCCATACATGATTGTGAGCAGCTCTTACCAAGCTTTTTTCTTTTAGTCTTTTACATTTAATGGTTCAGTATTTCACATAATGATGGTATTCTACTTGTTCTTTTTCTTCTGATGATGATGATTGTTATTATTGTGTCTTTGTCTTTGTTGTTCTGTACTATTATATAACAGTAAATTATCCAAAACTCTTTGCAAGTCAGACTTCAAAAGTAGCAAATGTCTTTTAAACAGTCACTCAGAACAAAATACATTAAATGTTAAAATGAGGAAAAGAAAAGGGCTTTAAGTGAGGCAGCAGACTGTAAACCTGATTGCATAAAGCACATCACACAATGAATGAAATATGAAGGCACATGACCGAAAAAATCACCACATAAAAAAAAAAAAACCAGGACTGAACATGATGACTAAGTATGATCATATTATACATTCGTTCTGCTGGCAAAATACATAAACAATCTATCATCTTGCTGGGAAACTCATGATCATTTTTGCTGTTACTAGGCAACCAAGGCTTAATAAGTGAGGACAAGCTTTGGAGGACCACAGTGCACGTAGAGAAGCAGCTGACAGCTGCCCACCTCCACCGCTCTCACCTGAGTTAGTCATCAAGATATGCTGCATTGCATCAAGAGCTTGTGACAGGCCGCTGGAGATGATCTCGGTTACTGTCACAGACACGTGCTAAAAGTGACATCTGCTTAAACAGAAAATGAAACAGCCCTTTATGTACATGAAGAATTCTTTACGCAAAGTCTTCCTTGTGTTGATGGTTCAATATTCGGTCAACAAAATTTTCCCCGTTTGGTCTGTCTTATTCAAAAATGTCTTTTCCAGCTGCATTCAGAGGCCCTGTGTGTTTGTGTGGAGGGTCTTGATATAAATAATAAACTCAAACACTTTGCTCCAAAACATAAATCATGCAGTGTGATGGTGTTATTGTTTATCGTTTGTCAGCCAAACAATGAGGGTGAGATATACTGGGATGATGTGTTTTACTCTTTTCCCTGCCAATCACTTTGGCAAGAGTGGGTGTCACACATCACTCCTCAAGAATCCAGTGCAGTAAAGTTTGTCAGTTTTGGTATGGGTGGTGCAGTGTCATGCTAAGAAAATCTGAAAGGGCCTCTGGCATGGCAGGCAGTGTGGACAGATGGTTGGTCCAGCTCAGACGTACAAGGAGAAAGCCCCGGCAGAATGGATGAATCATCATTCTACCAACTGTTCCTCTCAGCATGTTCAACTCGCTCACTCTTTGTTTTTATGGCCTGACAAAAAAAAAAGTTGTATTGTGGAGATCGAGAACAGCATCATGATGAAGTGGTGGTACACCTTGAAGCAGGTCTGAGCGGCTGCATCGTCACTGGACGTTGGGAGCATCTCTGATCTAAAAAAGCTCAGAGCAATGTGCTCTGAACGGTAAAATATTTATAGGGATCTGGCATTAAAGCACATGGCGTTCCTCAATAAAGCTACTTTTGCTGCAGCAGATCCACTTTGACTTCTCACTAAAAATTACCACTAGTGTTGGACAAGCATGCCAGAAAATAACAGCTTGTCACTGCAGGACCCAGGACTGTCTGTGCGTTAACCATTCAGAATAATCACAAACAGAATTCATTCAGGAAACCTACATTTTATACATCTCATCATAAAAACGGTGGAAGCCAAACATAAAGTTATTAATATTAGCAGTCATACAGGAGGAGCAAAACACTTACAGCACCTGACAGCTCTGTGTATGAAAATATGTGCATTTTCATTTCAGTAGTTTCTACTCTAAATCACAAAGTGAGCTCCTTTTTGTAGACAAGCTGCCCTTAAGTGACCCCAACAGAGCTGCTGTGATTATAATCAGTGATGTAACCACAAATGAAAGGAGACTACACAACTACCTGACCTTTAATTACCTATAATAATCAATTATATTAAGAAGAAAAGCACTGTTTATGCCTGTTCCCCATCTCCCAACCTTTATTCGATGTATCTATCAGATGTATCTTTTGAATTTCATGTGGTAGAGTTAAAATAAAAAACTTGTTTTGGAGGCCCTGTCTGTTTTACATATGTCATCAGTTCCCATTTCCACCATGTGTTGCCTCAGTGGGGACCCACCTCTCATCCTGACACTGCCGTGATCAGTTGCACTGCAGCTACACACGACTACACACAACAGATTGGTTGGCACAGCCGCCTGCGTGTGTACGTCCTGGTTCTGCAGTTTCTGTTTCAGCACCAGGTAGCCTCTGCTCGAAGGTAACAGTCGGGGTTGTTTGTGTCAATCAAAGCCGGTGGAGATGCGTATTGGCTTGTCTCAGCCCGCGGGGCTCCAGGCTCCACCTCTCCATCAGAGTCCTGCCTGTGCTGCGCTTGTTGCGGTGAGCGCGGAAGGGTTGTGCGCTCTCAGGTTACGCGTGTGAAGTTGTGGACCAGAGGAGATCGGAGACGTCCAGCGACTTAAAGAGAAGGAGGGAAATAGATCGAGGCTCACTATCGTTTCTCTCTTTGCGCTGGAATACACTGAAGTCCTCGGACAGCGGCTGAGAAAAGGCACCAAAACGAGTTTGTGGCTTTTAATTGAGAGACCAAGCATACCCAACAGTATGCGGTGCAGTTATGGCAGGCAAGGGTAAGACAGTCGTGAGGACGCTGGAGGATTTAACGCTTGATTCTGGTTATGGTGGAGCCGCGGACTCGGTCAGGTCGTCCAGCGTGTCGCTGTGCTGCTCCGACACGCATCAATCCTTCTCGCATGGAGGCAACTGCTGGCATCTGACGGAATCAATGCATAGCAGACACAACAGTTTGGACACAGTCAACACCGTCCTGGCGGAGGACACGGAGATACTGGAGTGCTCGGGTCAGTGCGCCAAACTGCCCGAGCTGGAGGACGCGCCATGGAGCCTCGGCGAGGTGGAGGGCGCACTGAGGAAAGACGAGGAGCTGATGGTGGGCAACCCGCCACCGGAGGTCCTGGCGCGGCTGTCGGCTCTCATCAGCCGCGCGCTGGTGAGGGTGGCCCGGGAGGCGCAGCGGCTCAGCCTGCGCTACGCCAAGTGCACCAAGCATGAGATCCAGAGCGCCATCAAGGTGGTGCTCTCATGGACCATCTCCGTCAACTGCATCACGGCAGCTCTGAGCGCCCTGTCCCTCTACAACATGAGCACCGGGGACAAGTTCAGCCGAGGCAAGTCGGCGCGCTGCGGGCTGGTCTTCTCCGTGGGGAAGTTCTTCAGGTGGATGGTGGATAGTCGGGTGGCCCTCAGGATCCACGAACACGCCGCCATATACCTCACCGCCTGCATGGAGAGCCTGTTCAGAGAGGTGTTCAGCCGCGTCCTGCGCAGCGCGCTGGTGGAGAGGGACAACGGGATCCCCAAGTTTACGCTGGAGTCACTGGAGCAAGCCATCAACAGCGACTCGGAGATCTGGGGTCTGCTGCAGCCCTACCAGCACCTCATATGTGGCAAGAATTCAAGCGGTAAGAAGAGTTCAAAAGAAGGTCTGATTATCTGTGGATGATTTGTACCTTATGTGAGTCTTATGTGCTCAGAAATTCACTGTTAAACCAACCATATAAGCCAGATCACCATCAGTTTCATGCGCTTATCTCCAATGGATATCCACGTGTTGCAAGAAATATCTAGAAACCAGTGGCTGCTGTGTCTTTAAACAAGACATGGTGACTCAACTGGCAGCCTGAGGTTTGATTCAACAAAACTGGATTCTCTTCCAGGGGCAAGCACAAGTGCACATCTCCAAGTTTCAGTCATCTGTTTAGAGGATGACAGCATTTTAAAGCAGAATATTTGATTGAAGCATGAAGTGATAATCTGCTTAGTGGAGCCCAGTTGGAGGAGTAATATTCTATAAACTGTATAATCATGCTGGGGAATAACCACATGCTTATCTTGCTCGTGTAATTGCACCTCCCCAAACAAACAAAAGGCCTTGACAGTTTTCTTGATCATTTATTACCCTCGGCTGTTTTAGACCTGAAGGCTCTGAAACAGGAACCACCTATCTTGCTTATCAAAAGCCCCGGAGCAACAACAGTCAGAATAGATATTTATGGTTTAAAAAGATCAAACAAGCTCCAACATCTATTTCTTTGAAGCCATTGTGTTGTCAGACTTTCCTTACAGAGATGAGAGGAATGTTAATGTTAATGATTGTTGTGAGAGTGAAACCCTTGGTGTGTTTGGTGTGTGTACACATGATATGTGTGTGTCATGATTTTGCAGAAACAGGATTTTTTGGTGTTTACAGGCTATTGTGTGCTGGCCTTGTTGATAATGCTATTGCTGTCTAGCTCCAGAAGGTGTAAGCTGTCAGTGTGGGCTGGCCCTCTTATCCAAAGCCCTGAATGAGTTGGCTGGAACTATAAAGCAGAAGGCACTTGAAATGCTGTTCTCTAACTGAGAGCCAAACTTGGTCGTGCAATATTGACCCAAAACAAATCACATTGCAGCTCTTTTGCTAATTTGTTGCAGCGCAAATGTTTTATTTCAGCATTTACAACTTAAAGGTCCCATATAGTCTAATGGTCTCTGTTCGCGTGTAGTGTGATTATAGATCAGGTCTAGGTTCTATATTAATACTGTGAAAGTATCAAAGCCTCAGTCCACAGAGAAATGCACACAGCCTGTATTCAGAAACTGAGCCTCAAAACCAGCCGTCAGGATTTCCTGTAACTTTGAGATGTCACAACAAAGCAGTCATCGCCCTCAGCCATGCCCCAAGCCCCGCCCACCTGGACCCACCTTGCAGGAATTGGTTTCCCTGAGTGTTTTACCTGATATCTGCTATATTTTTATTCCATCACTCAGAAAACAGTCAGCCAATCAGAGGGGAGGCTCAGAGCCTCCTCTCGTCTGATTGGCTCACAGAACTGTTGTTACTAGAGCTCCAGAGAGAAACTACATTTAGATGTTTTTTGGGTCTTAAAACTACAAATATATCTTCTTGTGGATCAACACTTCAAATAAAACACAGGAAAAGTGTAAAATATGGAGCTTTAATAGAAATGAAAAACAAAGATTCTTGGTTGCCTCAGTTTGAATATGAGAGAGGGGATTTTTCACATGTGCTCCCTGACTTCTTTTCTGTAAGAGCACCAGGAAAGATGGTTCCAGAAGCAGTCTGAAATAGCTCTCATAGGGTCCTCAGTGATACGACATGATTTGAAATTCAATGTCACGGATGCAGGTTTTTCTAACATAACAGGTTCTCATCTTGTAATCCATACCCTCTAGTCTCTGTTATGTACAAACCATGCAACAGCAACCACTAAAATCCAAAACCAAAAGGAGAAATAAAAAAAAAAAGGAAAACATATTGAAAAATTCCTCATTACAGTTTTTCCAGAAGCGAAACTGATGCCTTCAAATGTCTAATTTTGTTGGACCGAGCTTGAAAAACAGACATATTCAATCTACAGTGACAAATCCTGAGATCTGAGAAGCTGGAACTAGAGAATATTTGACTATTTTTGATGGAAAACTACCTTAAATTATCAACTGATAGTAAAAACGCTAATGTGCTAATTGTTTTAGCTCTAACATGAGTCACAAACTGGTGGCGGAAGAACTCCCTCACACCCTTTCATCTCCTCATCCACCCTCTTATACCCCCTCATTCGACACTGATATTTAGCCTCGGTTGAAAACGCTACACACGACTGCTTCGTCTTGAAGCTGTAGCAGAGAATCAGGTACTTCTCTGTAGACAGGATGCAGAGCCAAGCATGCATCCCCCTCCTGTCCTCCTCCTCCTCCTCCTTCTCCTCCTCCTCCTCCTCCGTGGATCGCATCATTTCCTGATGGTGCAGAGGAGGCTACAATTTGCACTCGCCCAAAAACAGCATGATGTCACTCTGTGACAGTTAGCGAGGCAAAAAAAAAACATGAGGATTTAAAAAGTGCTGCCTTTTTTTTGGTTGTTATTGTTGTGACCCAACATTTGTATCAAACATTTGTCAGTTTGGTGAAATATCACATTTGAAATTGAATTGTAAATAATTTTCCATCCTTAATCACATATTAATCAAACATTTACTCATACTTCTGTATTGTCTCTATTTCTGTTCGTGGTTTTGAGGTAATAGGAATGAGTGTACATTGAGTCAGAGGTCGGGAAGGGCAGGGTATTCCCTCTGCTGAGACACACTGTCTCTTTTGGGGAACAAAAGCAGTGCAGCACATAGTGACTAAATCCACGCTGCTCTGCTCTGCCAGCGACCATTGGTGACAGTGTCTTTGCTCTGACTAATGAGCAGAGCCGAACAGAAGCTTTTCTTCACTGCCTTTTCTGTCCAGCCTGTTCACTCTGATTCTTTGTAGTATCTCTAACATTTATTATCACAGGAAAAATACACTGTGTGTGAAAGGACCGGCGGTTTATCGTGTGTCTTATTTTTTATTTTTAACCTCAATAAACACTAATTCTGAAACCAGTCACGCCTATAATATATTCAACTGTCAACAGGTGAAGCAAATTAGGGCAGATACCTTTTCATTAACAGCTCCACTGAAATGACAGAACAGTTTGTCAGTGTATGGGAGTTTTCTGTCATCCTTCTGCAGCGCAGTATTCTTTATAAGTGCCCTCAAAAATAACCAAAACTGCCATTAGAGAAGTGACTCGTGTGAGGGTTTTCTGACTTGGTTAAGGTCTGGTTAGGTTCAGGCAACTGAATTTACTTGGTTAAGAGAATAAACTGGAGACGTGAACAGGTTCGAGTCATAATCACATGCTTCATTAATCCAACAATCCACCTGGGTAAAATTATTTGTGTCACTATAACAATGCCATGCTACGTCCGCCTCTTATTCTGAGTCACTATTCAGAGGACAACTTGTTAGAAAAACATAATATTTGGTCATTTTATGATTTTGAACACAGATGTTGTCTACTATGATTTAACCTTATCTCACACTTACAACCAACCAAACTGTTGCAGTTATCCAACCATAACTCAACTCTTAGTGTTTGTCAATTTGGGCCCAATACAGCTGCAATCACAAAATAGATTTGAAACACAAAAACATTCTTTAGCTACGTGCACAATGCGCCAGCAATGATTTGGGTCAAAGCTCTGGAGAGGAAGCAAATTTAATCATATTTGTTTCCTGATTTCGACACATCCACGGCTGCTGTAACTTGACTATCTCTTCCATCTGTAACCGTTGGAGGCGGAGGTGGGGGTGGAGGTGGATGTCTCCTGACGTAATAGCCTCAACAAGGGTTCAGCATGTTGGACTCTCCCCTCTCTGTCGTGTTAAACCATCTAATTACAAGTGACGTCAGGAGCGAACAGCCCGGTCATCAGCTTCTGAACCTGCTGGGGCGGCGTTTAAATTTAGGAATCCCCAGTGATCATGATCATGTCTGTCATTTGCCGTGACCTTCCCCAAGGAACCAATCCAACCTCCGCAGGACAGATGACACAAGATAATGGAATTGCATAGCCTCCTATAGTCAGTCTATTAAATTAGCAGCGGGTGTCTGTTCTCCCTCCTTCTTCACTCTCTGTCTTTCACACCATATTTTATTGTGTTCTCTGCTAGGGGGGTGGGGTTGGGGGGGTGGGGGGGGGCGGGCTTGGTGTTTGCATATTTGTTTTCCACTGTGGTTTTTAATAAGCTCAACTCATACCCACATGATTCTGGCAAAGCCTTTTGTTGTCCATTCTGTTATTATTTTCTGCCTGTCCTTCCTCTCCTTGGGGTGGACTCGCAGATGAGCTGACAGATTGCTGTCTTTCTGGTGGAGATGCGAGCACTCGGGCAGGCAGGCTGGTTGTGATGGATTTTTTATGTCACCGTAATTTCATAAGACCAAAGGCTGCACCCACACCCCTTCACCCCGCTTCAGCAATGATCAGTGATTGTGAAGTTATGTGAAGCTGTTTTGGGGCCAAGATGAATTTTATGAGCTGCATCCGTTTCTAGTTTCCTTCTGTGTTACTGGCTTGTGAAAATATTGACTTTCATTTCATATTCTTCTCAGTGATTTTCACTGGAAGGGATTCAAAAAAAAGAAAAATACCTATAACTCTGCTTCGGGCAACAGGGGCAAGCCCAAAATGCTGTTGTTTTATTACCAGAGTGTGTTTGGAGCGTGGATCCCCCTCCTTTTTCAGAAACTAGGTGAAAGCACTGGGTCAGGATGAGATAATGAGAATAGTGTGATAGCGTTGAATGCTCGGTGTTGTGAGGGAGTCGAGCGCGGGAGGCGAAACCAGGCTGGAGTGTCAGCTGGAGGAGGTGGTGGTGAGGAGGCATTGGCACAGGTCCCTCAGAGATATAATTACCATGCAGCTCTCTTTAATTAACACTTGTGCTTATCTGGTAGTCATTAAGATTAGGAATTAGCAATGGGAAACACCAGGGAGCTGGAAAGAACAAAGATGATAATTCCTCTCATTCATTTTTAAATACCCGTGGTGCAGGTCCACGTCGGCGGGTTTGATCAGATTGG